GGTGTACAAAACTGTTAAAACACAGTCAAAATCTGTTCTTGATCAGTATATACTGACCTGTTAACATCTTTAATAGCACCAACAAATACCTTAAGATGCTGTGAACAGGCCGCCTGTGCAAAACATTTACCAGCAGCCTGTCCCTCAGCCCAAAAAACCCTTTGTAAAGAACAATTTATTCTGTGATGCCTGCAAAGTATGTGTCTCAAGATGTTTCTGAGCTTCTAGCCAATGACAACGCTAATTTACCTAGGGATTTAAAATAAAGGCGGTTTTCTTATATGCAACAGCTTGACAAGCCATATTATCCTTCTCTCAAGTATCCCTTTTAATATTACTGATATGTCTAGTAAATAATCCTCTCGTATAGGCTTTTAAGGTATTCCAAACAACACTCATAGAAGCAGAAGAAAAATTAATAGAAATAAATAGTTTCACCATATTCCAGTGAGGCACGCCCCGAGATTAAAGAAAGCAAGAAGGGGTTCAATCACCAAAAAATTGGTATGGAAATGTATTAGTGGAGAAATATATAAAGGAAAAGGGTACTGCTTAGTCACAGTTAACATTTCTAAATGTTCCCTTTAACACGGCAAATCTTCATTTTTTTTTTGTAGTTCATGTCCACTTTAATTGTGAATATTAAGGTTGAAGGCTTCATGGTTGCAATGGACAACACTAATACTTTTTTTTTTGTTTTCATACATGAGGCCTGCTGTCATCTAAGCATGCAGCCTGGCAGGCAAAGAAACGAGGGAGGCAATGAGTGTGCAGTCTCTCCCTTCTGAACCATACTAAAGCCACATGCCCTCAACATGGCAAGGCATCTTGTCTGCATATTGAAAGAGACAAGGGCCTTATACCCACATCCCATGGGGGGATGTATGTGTGTGTGTGTGTGATTCTGCTATCTGGCCCTTGGTTATTCCTTCACAAATAAGTTAAAGTATATAAATCCCACTATTAAAAACAAAAAGACCATTACAAAATTATCCATCGAAACACGGGGGAACCCAAGGTAGGAGCTTGATAGTTCACCAAAATATACCAAAGAAACTAAATTGCAACCAAAATTATACAATATAAGCACTTCGGTGTTTGTCAGCTGATATCTCTGTTATCAATGAATATAGAAAAACAATAGGTTCCAACTTAATAACACATCAGAGATCAGCTTAGAAACCACATGATCAAGTAAATACAATTCAAACCAAACGGGTATAAAGTATAAATCAATTTATTCCAAATAAATGTCAATAATTTATCAAATTTGCGCATATGAACCCCCCCTCCCCAACAATAACAAAAACCCCTCCCTATAAAACCATAACACATGATGGTCCTGTTAGGTTCCTGTTATAATATCTAAAAAATCGTGGATCGCCTCTATCTTGGCTCCTACATTTACCTCTCACCCTGGCATGTGTAAAACAGAAAAAAATAGGGAAAAAAGGGTTTTGTAGAGAGGCATAGACTGATGCATATATAAAAAAAATATATATCAAAATGTATTAATCATACAAATAAATACAATAAAATATATCCAATTGATGCAATATACAACTACATTCCTAAAAATACAAGAAGCATGTGCCCCATGTATATGAACTCAGGCCTAATGTTGATAGTGAGATAACCATGATTACAGACATTACATTGATGCAATATCCCAATACATTTCCAACATGATACATCCTTGCTGATAGGACGGCCATATAAATATCAATTGATGGATACATTGTCCAGATACATATCTGACAGTTCGTCCCGACGTCCATTTCGCAATTTGCTTATTCAGGGGACTGAAAACAGGATAATCTAGTGTGACAGGGCACACGATTCTGTGTATGTCAGTGAGAGGTTGAAAGGGGCAGCTTTCCCTGGCTAGGAAAGGGTTAAGCCTGGCCCAACAGGTAAACCTCCTCTCTCTCTATTAATTAGCCTGCACCTGATAGTGAATGAGAGGGGGAGAGAGCTCAGACCTAGATCCAGGCTGCACTGGATGGACACAAACTGGGGAGTGTCTGCATATCTGGGGAATAAGGTCTGCCAGAACAACGGTATGTATTGGCCTCTGGTTTTTATTCATTTATACTGGAAGCTGGAATAGCCGCTCCAGTAGGACGTAGTGAGGGACACTACTGTTTAGTTAGCCTCCTAAGGTGGAGTAGGCCTTTTTATTTGTGTTACTTTTGAGTTCTGACGGAAATTGTTTGTTTAAAGGAGACTTTTACGTTGCATGCAATAAAGCTGCATTTATTGCCAATACTGATTAAAGACCAGTGACTTTCCTACACTAGCAAATAGAGATTGTGTGTAAATTTTAATCTTATTATATCATCACAACAGTAGGCCTATAGACAAAATACATATTGATGCAATTAACCCCATGTGCGGAGAGCCCCACACAGAGCGGACATCTGGTACTCACCACACATACAATCAGTATGATCTGCATCTCTTGCGGGTGCAGATCATACTGATCGCTCCCTCGTGGTGCCGCCGCTGATTGTCAGGGATCGATTTTAGTATCACACTGATTCTGCACTGGACCACCAGGATAATCCCCAACACTGGACCCAGGGATGCAGCCCCCCTCCTGCAAAACAGGTAAGCAGGAGAGGGGGACATTTTTAAATTAACTTTTTATTTTTAATAATTGTATGAGAGTGTGTGTTTTGTTTATTTTTATTTTTTTAAATGAAGCTGTGTCTGTGGTTGTTTGTTTCATCGTGTGTGTGTGTGGTTTTTTTTTTAACCACTTCCCGCGGGTTTGCGTAAATGCACGTCCTCCGCTGGAAGTGGTTATACCAAGAACACGGCTGCTCCTGTTCACTCCACTTGTAGTGCGTTCCGGTATCCTGTGCGGGTGATCGCATTGCGGCCGGAGGGCGTGGCAAACTGCACCATTCACTACAATGGCCCGCCACGCACCCTGCTGCCCGTCAAAAAATTGAGCCGCCCGCAATGCGATGCAGTGCGTTCTGGCCGAAATCGGGCTGGAACACACTGCAAGTGGTGTGCACAGGCCCTTAAACAATAGATGATTACTGTTTCAATGCAAGCGATCCGCTGTCTGTATAGGTGCTGGATCACTTGTATGGTGTACGGTGCCGTGTCCCCCTCCGCAGCCGCCAGTGCCGCCGTCAGCTTCCCGGGCTCACACAAGGGACAGATGAGCCCGGGACCGGCGTGGAGGGTCTCCCCTGGCAGATCGGAGGAGAGATCAGCAGCTTCTAGCCGCGGATATCTTCTCCAATCACTGGACATAGGAAGTGATGTGCACAGTCTCCGGCTCCTAGAGCCAAAAGAAGAAGTTGGTGAAGCAGATCTCTGCTTCATCAGCTTCTTTGGAGTCCCTAGGTGACATTAAGGGTCTAAAAGACCCCTGATGTCTCCATAAAGAGAACCTGTCGCATTATATTTGCTATTGCATAAGGGACTTGTCAGCCCCCTATATGATAACAATAAAGCTGAGTGTAAAAAAAAAAGTTGTAAAAATTAAAGTAACATAAAAAAATAAATGCAAAAAACATTTCCTTAACCACTTGAAGTCCGCGGTGTTACACTCTCTACCTGCCCCGGCCAATTTCCACTATTCAGCGCTGCGGTACTTTGACTGACATTTATTCCGTCATGCAACGCTGTACTGAAATCAATTTTATATTTACTATGGTAAGGAAAATTTACCAAAAAAAAATAATTTGTTTTTCCTATATTGAATTAGAAAACATTTATTATTACCCTATTTTTTTGGTAAAATGTAAGAGTCGGGGGCACGTCGGGAAAAAAGACCCCAAACATGTTAAGCCTTAAAATTGCATGTGTGCGCGAAACCTAAAAAAAACTACAATACCCAAAATTGGCCATAGGCGGCGCTTTAAAAGCTTTTACCGCTCATCAGTTTAGTGTTATCAGTGATTGATGAATTATTGACTCACTCCAAAATTTGCGGCGATATGTAACATGTGTAGCTTGATTGTTGTTTTTGCGCACATGACGGGTATTTACATTTATATGTGCGTAAACGTGGGGGTGGGGGACATAAACATTTTTGGGGGCTTTTTTACTTTTTTTTTTTTTTTACACTTATTGTTATTGCTATCACATAGAGCAGCGGTTCTCAACCTGTGGGTTGCGACCCCCTCGCGGGTCGAATCACGATTTGCCAGGGGTCGCCCGGGAGTCTTCCACTACTAGATAGCGGCTCCTGGCCGCCCGGGAGAGAAACACTTTTTCTTCTCCCGGAAAGTGTAAAGCAGAGTAAACTTTTCCCTGCGATGGCCACCGTAAGTCAGAAAAAAACAACCCACCATAGGAATGCATAGCTAGATTTCTATTGGCTATTTCACTTTGCAATAGCCAATAGCAAACTAGATATTGCACCCGCCCTCTGCTGTCAATCAGTAGAGGGGGACATGCAGTTCTCCATCGGGTCCTCTTTTAATGATTGACAGCAGCAGAGGGCGAGTGCAATAGCTAGTTTGCTATTGGCTATTGCAAAGTGAAATAGCCAATATGAATCTAGCTATGCATTACTATGGTGTTTTTTTTTTATTATTCTGACGGCGTACACCAGTGCTTTTCAACCTGTGGGTCGCTGTGTGATCAAACGGTGATATTTTGCAGACATGACTATAATGTACTTATTTTCCTTACTTGTTTCTGATTAGACATTCGGTAAGGGAAACTGAATTGACTGGTATGTGTTAGGCAATAGGCACCATGATTGTTATATTACTGAACACAGAAGAGGTGTAGGTTTCAAAACGCATCTGGCAGGTAAAACAAATCGAGCGGGCACACTTGCCTGATTTCATTCTTCCAGGGATATATTTAACCTCTTTAATGGCCTGGATGGGAAGGGGGTTTAACACCGCGGATGTCAACTGGTTAACAAAACAATCATTATGAAATCGGATTGCTTAATTTTCCCTTGCTGTGGATTGGCCAGTTCTATAGAATAGAGAAAAACAGCATGTGATCTGAGAGTTACTTCCTGATTTACTGAGTGCTGAGAAGTGCACATAAATATATGTGGTGAGTATATCTTTTTGGAAAAATATTGCACTTGGGACACACAAATGTCAGGAAACATTGGAAGCTCGAACATTACTTAAAAATAAGAGGCATGTGTGCTACAAATCTGTATAAACATAAATATGCATTCTCTTCAAGGGAGGCAGTCATACCAGAAGTGTAATGCTACTGTAGATTGGGTTGGGAGAGGAGTATATTGGTGAACTTGCTGTCTGAGCCTTCTCTCAGTCTGAGTTGTAGTGTACTTCATTACTGTTCAGCCAACGTCAGCTCAAACTGAAACAAAGGGCCATTTATTCCTGTGATTACTGTACCATTGAACAGTGCAAGCTGTTCTGTGTTCAGTGTTTATCCTGCAGTGGCTCTGTGGCTTTGTCAATTACTCATATTGTCATCTTTCAATATCTGATGTTTTAAGTCAAGATGA